ATGGACGCCACCAACGACGTCCTGGCCGCGCTCGGGCTCCGGATGTGGGTGGTGACCCGTCCGCCGTCCGCTTGCGCCGATCCTTGCGCGTTTCTCCTCCCGTCGATCGTGTTCGTGACGCGCCGGCATGGCGGTGATGGGAAGCTGAGTTCTGCAGGATGCAGTAGAGTAGCGCCACGGTGCTTTTCCACCCCTCCCCGTAGTGGGACAGGCTCGCCTGATGCGGTGATCCGTCCGTCCGTCGATCGTGTTCGCGTTCGAGGTTCAGGGATTGCAGGCGTTTTGGTCGGTCCTCGGCGGTTTTGCAGCTTCGGAGTGCGTTCCAGCGGCTGCGCCTCGCCGCGAGGCATCTGGGGGTGCCCGGATCGTCCCGAGCGGCCGCCAGAGGCCCGAGATTTGAACCCAAAAACCACCAGCAGAAGAGGCGGGCCTTTCCAAACCGCCTCCGAGAAGCTTCCTGGGCCTTCTCCGAAGACACAGACGGCTCCTCTGGAGGGCCGGAGAGCCTCTGAGAGGCCCCGCCGCCCTCTTGGAAGGCCTGCCCCCCCGTCACACCCCCCTCGGCGCGCCGCCGATCTAGGGCGCCCCGAGGCTCAAATGATAAAGGTCTGCATGATGATCAGGGGTCGACCAAAGCGGTGTTTTGTCGATCTCGTGGGGCATGGGCCATTTCCGTTTTGATTTCGTTACAGCGAAGGCGGAACGAAGACAACACGAGGGACAGCGAAAACAACACGAACACGACAAACACCGTTTTGGCCCAGCCCTGATGAGGATCGACAGTCGGGGTTCGCAGGTCTATCCTGGTTTCCCGGGTCTGCGCGGGGTCCCCTCCAGCAGACCCGAGACGGCATGCACAAGATCGGCGCGACAACCGGCCGGCCCGCCCCCCGAGGTGACGCCCTCCTGCAAGTTCGCGCGGACGCGGCTGCGCGTGGGCACCGCCTCGCCCGGGAGGCCGTCGCGCGCCGCGGGGGGGGGAGGGGCTGTAGCCGCGGCCCACCGCCGTTGCCCGCCCCCGCGTCCGTCGCCGCCGCCCCGCCAGGCCGCGCGCCGAGGACGCGGGGGGCACGCCCGGCGAGCAGGAGGGGCATATCGGAGGCCCGCCGGCGCGGGCACCTACGCCGATGTCGTGTCGGCGTTTTCCAGCGGGCGTGGGGCAGGGGGGAGGGGGGGAGGGTGATGGAGCTCGGGGGTGGGAAAGGGGTGGGGGAGTTGGGGGGGAAGGGGGCGGAGCTGGGTGAAGGGAGTGGGCTGGGGGAGAGAGTGGGTGAAGGAGGGGGGGTGGGGCTGAGGAGAAGGGGGAAAAGCAGGGGGGGGACCCAAGCGAAGGAGCAAATGCACCCGCACCCGCACTTTCGCGCGCAGGCATGCCGCCATGGCGTCTGCCGCCGAGATCCGCCAAACCATAACGGAGTGCAACCGAACGCTGAGGAAGGAGCTGGCCCAGGATCTTTTGCACAAGGAAGATCAGCTGATCGAGGGGGAACCGACCATTAGCGTAAGAATCGCGAGGGGGGACATCGGCCAACAGTTTTTGGTTTCGCAGTCGCGCATGGACCCTTGGGAGGGCATGGGACATGCTCAGGGTGCTGATGGCCACCTTGGCCGGGCAGACATCGTGCACGCGTGCAGGTTTTGACCCCCGCCAGCCTGCCCATGCCACTCACGGGATGAGGCCGGCGCTGATATCCTCAGTTTCTCCATGAAGCTTTGTAAGAGAAACATCATCGATTCCTTGAAGAAGGAGCTCGTAAAGGAGGATAAGTGGGATAAACGTGCGCTCGGCCGCGGTGATGGCCAGGGCGTTTTGAAGCAGGGAGATTTCGACTTCATCGCCCCTTGGACGTTAGGAGAAGTCGACACATCAAGTTTAAAAAGGCGACGTCATCCGCACAAGCGTGGGCAAGCTCCCCGGCAGCGGAAGTCCAAGTACATTGTATGTTCCACGGTTGGGCAGAGCGCGTTCTGCGATAAGCAAGCGGGCGCTGATTTTAAGAGGAGGAGTGTGTGGCCTGAGGATTGGGAGGTGGCGACCAAGGACAATGAAGGTTCTTTGGGGCGACGCTGTCATCCAACGCGCCGGCATTTGGGTCGACCAGACGCAGGCGGAAACTCGCAGTGCGACCCGTTATTGGTAACCTTCGGAGGGTGATCGAGGAACGCGGGGCTTCGCGCGCGCACCCACTGGCCGAGGAGGCGCCCAACGCCAGCCTGTGGAACGCTGCGGGGGGCAAGTGCGGGAGACGGATATGAGCACTTCTTTTGGGCAGGTATATGACCATCGCCCATGGGGCGTCATTTGTCGGCAAGAGATGGTATCAATCACGAGGTCTCCCATGCCGCTGCATTCCCAAGGCGTCGGAATTCTGAGCGAGCGGCGGCGCGACAATGCGGCTTGTGTCAAATCCCGCGGGCAGGGGCAGCGGCGGATTGCATCGACCTTTCCTGGCGCAGCGGGCACCTACTTCATTGTCTGTGCCGCAGTGCTCTCGCGCGCCACCAATTCAACCCGTCGCGGACGCGCCGGCGGAGATCGCGGCCGGAACGTCGTCGGCATGGGCCCGCTCCTTTGCGCGCATCAAAGCGCTGGCATTTGCATCGCGGGCGAGAGGGCGCAAGGCGGCGAGCCAAACAGATTCCGCCGCCGCGCCGATGGAAGTCTGTTGCGACGGCGCCCGCGCTGGTCAATCCGCGGGGCTCTGCGGGTCGCGGGCCTTCGGTTGCCGATCTCCGCGTGAGCTGCGGTGCGTTTCGGCGCCGTCTTTCGCAGTCTAATCGAGGATGGGCCCAAAGGGATGCGCGGCCTGATGCGGCGGAGACTTCCCGCGGGATTGGGGGCGCGGTTGGCAGAGGAGCGGGGGGATTTCGATCGCGACCGCGCCTGGATGCGGCACCGCGTCGCATGCGAGCGCCCGCGAGGGTCGTCTGAATTCCACTCCGAGACATCGGCGTTAGTAGGGCCGTTGGGCAGACGAACGCATCGACGCCGGCGGAGGCCGCGCCGCGCGCCCGCCAAGCAGCGGGATGAAGAGGCGGTCCGCTCGGGCCGCTCGCCGCGAGTTTTCGGGGGGGGAACGCCGGCGAACGGGGGCGGGCTGTCCGGCGCCGAGGGCCAAGCATCGGCGCCGCGCGACCGCCGCGGCGGCGCCCAGCGCGCGGGCGGCGAAGAAGAAAGTTAGTGAATGCGCGGATGGGGCGCTCGGAAAGACGCGGCGCCCTGGCGGGTCGCAGAGGCGCGCCCGCGCAGAAAAGACCGGGGCGCCGAGTCCGCCGCGACCCAGCAGCCCGCGCTGACGCGCGGCAGAAGAGCATCAGGAAAACGCGAGCATTTGCTTTTTGAACAGCATGATTCACCAGCGCCGTCGCTTCATCTCGATTGCGCGCGTTGCGGGCGCATGCGATGGCGATGCTCATTCCGACGCCAGTTCCGAGAATTTGCACCGCGGTGCCTCTGTAGACTGCTCGTTGCTTTCGCTTCTCGACTGCGCGGAAGCTGGCTGGATGCCCAGGGGCGCGCGCTTGCATTTGCGGCTCGCGAAATGATCGCGACCCGCACTTGTTTCGCCAACCTGGCGGCGCGCCGCGCGAGGGGCGCGCGCGCTTCGCCGCGCGGCGGAGACCTGGGGCGGCGGAGCAGCGCAAACGCCGCGCAGTTGGGCTTCGAGAAGGCGCCCGCTGAAGCATCGTTCCAATGCCCGGCGCCCTCCCGCGCAGCGCTCGCGGGCGCGCGCACCTCGCGTCTCTCTGCGGCTTCGCGACGGGAAGGCGGCGCGCGTGGGCGCGGGCGTGCCGGGCGCGCCCGCGACGGAGATGGTCGTCGGACCACAATTTGCGAAGTGGCCTCTCGACTGTTTCCGGCTTTTGACCGGCTTTCGCGGGCGACCCCGATCGCGGGCCCATCGCCCCGCGGTTCTCAATGCGCGTTGAACTTTTCAATCGAGGCTCTCGCGCGGCTCTGCCCGGAGATCGGCGCGTGCGTTTTGGGGGTCGCGGCCGCGGGTGCCGCTGTTGAACTTGCGAGCGCGCGGGGGGCAAAGGTTGCGGTCGCCGGGTTCTGTTTCCGGTTGCAACGCCATCGGTTTAACGGGCGGCGGCGATTCCGACGCGGCGCGCTGCGTTGGGCGGGGAGAAAGTGAATCTCAACGTTCTGAGGAAGTTGTAGAATGCGCCCATGCGTCTGCAGCGAGGGGCGCCGTGGATGCCCCTCAACTTCTGATGTCTGTTGACTTTCGCCGGCTGGAACTCCCCCCCCGCGAGGCCAAGGCGCGCGCCTCTTATTTCATGGGCCACTCGCGGGCCATTTGCCACGGCAATGCAATTCGTCGTCGCAGATGGCCGTTCTTGGGAGAGGGCGCGAGCGCAGTAGAAGATGTTGAATGAGGCGGTTGCGACAGCGTTGATCTGCAGGACATCTCGCGCTGGAGGGCGGCGCCTGGTCCGCTGCCCCCCGCGCGCGGCGTTTTTTTTTTGGGGGGGGGCCTGGTCTAGGGGCCGGCGGGCACGGCGTGCCGCAGACGCGTCGGCAGCCGCCTGGCCAGGTGGATGGGTCGGCGACTGGGATCGCAGATCTCGGGCGTTCATGGCGAGGCCGAATACGAGGTGCATGGACACATTCTGCAATGCTGGATGGATGATGCGCGCACGCGGCATGGCCGATTGGCGAAGCTTGGGCTCTGAGGAGGGCTTCACTGAGGCTTGAGCACCCAGCCCTTTGTCTCGATGTTCCCTCGGCTCTACTCGTGCCTGCCGTTCGTTCCCTGTGTAGACTAGCATAGCCAGAACCTGTGGCGATTCTTAGTCAAACTGTAGTAATTTCACAGAACAGAAGAATAATAACAAGACTGGCTGCCCCGCCGCCGAGCATACAACGGTCTTGCTGAGGGTGCCGACAGCGGCCTTGCTGGATAGTCAGACGAAGGTCCGTACCCACGGCACGATTCTATCGAACTCGATCTCATGGTGGCATTGCCAAAGTTGAACAACTAGCACACAAAAGCTGCACCATACATCGTAATCCACTGTTGCCTTGAAGCGCCTTCGCTAAGGCTTGGCCAAGCCAACTCAAGTATGCTCCAAAGGATATCAGCACAATTTCAAATTCGTCATCGTACACGAGTGTGTGCCGCTCTGGGCCCAGGAGTTGTGACCAGGTCTAAGGGCAGCGACAATAGTTTTACCGTTTGCCATGCCATTGATGAGCTGGTAAAATTGCGGTTCCGACAGTTCGGAGTGTGCCATGATGTCCCCCAAATTGTTGCGGGCGGTCCGTCATTCCTGTCATCTCGCTGCTGTCCTCGCTCTCCTAGCAGACCGACCAGGTAGCAACACAATGAGGATAAGGAAGCGAAGTGACCTGGGAGCAAGGAGCAGGGAACAAAGAGGAGGAGGAAGAGGAGGAGGAGGAGAGGATGAGGTGGGAGGTGGTGGGGGGAGGACGGAGGGAGGGAAGAGGAGGGGGAACGCTGGCAAGGAGGACGAGGAGGACTCCCTCCCTCCCTCCGTCTTTCATTCGGGGCCCCTCCTTCCCTTGGTCTCTTCAACCCTTTTATCCTCCGCCCCCACCCCCTTCGGCCGCCAGGGCTCTCGCCCCGGGAGTTCGTGCGTTTCATGCGCAGCGCGCGCCGTTCGGGGATCCTCGCGGGGGATCGCTTGGAGCGCTACCTGCAGGAACTGGAGGCTCCCGCGGTGCTGGCGACGCCTTCACCACGACGACGACGTCGTCATCGTCGTCGCCGGTGGGAGGGAGGAGGGAGGAGGGAGGGGCCCGTCGCCGCCGCTGTCGTAATTTCTGGGGGTTCTCGTCGCAGCAGCTGGGCGGGGCTCGACAAGCATGCCTGGGGGGATCCCGGGGGGTGCTCTGGGAGTCCAGGGCCTTTATCGTCAACGGATAGAGGTCGGACGGCGACGGCGGCGACGACGACGACGACGACGACGACGACGACGACGACGACGACGACGACGACGGCAACGGCAACGGCGACGACGACGACGAATGCCGCGGCGGCGGCGGTGGCGGCGGCGGCGGTGGACGCCCCCCTCGGCAGGCCGTGGGGGCGCCGCGAGCAGGGAAAAGGAGGGAGCAAAGGTCGTCTCGGAGGGCCTGCCGTTCGAACGAACGCACTTTTTGGGGAAATGAGCGGGCCTCCTCCTCCCCCTCCTCCTCCCCCTCCTCCTCCTCCTCCTCCTCCTCCTCCCCCTCCTCCTCCTCCTCCTTCTCCCCCTCCTTCTCCCCCTCCTTCTTTCCCCTCCTCCCTTGGGCCATCATCTCGGTGGTTCAAAAATGGGGTCCTGAGGGATGGGGGTCTAAGGTCGAGCTGCGTTACACAACGTAGATCTGCCCTCGGATCCCTTCCTATCCGCCCCATCTTCGAACCACCGATCATTGCCCTTCTGACGGACGGCTGCTGTGGCGCGCACTCAGCCGCGACATGGTCCCGACCACATGGCAACGTATGGGAGCTGCCCAGTGGTGATGGAATGATCCAGATGCGGCAGACATGGACACCGTTGGCATCCAGAATGAGCTGCTCGCGGACGTAAGGGCCCACACGCGGAAGCAGGCCAGCAAGCAGGAGCACGGTGAGTCCCCCAAGGCAGGAACGGACCTTTGGCGCATCGCGTGGGAACATCGTTGCAATTACCGCAATGGAGACTACGACATTGCTGCCAGGACCAGGTTGTCACTGCTGGAGGTCAGTGGGGGGCGTGATCGCCAAAGTCCCGAAGGATATCAGGGACAATTCATGTGTCCTTGATGTGGAGAGACAGTTGAGGACCTATACCATCGAGCGTGAGGCTGCAAGACCAAATGTGTGCACCCCGACTACGCCAGGACGGACCACCTCTTGAGCCAGACGCATGCCCAGTACGAAAGCAATCCCAGTCTGTGTTACGACGAGTCCCATCACCGGCTTTTACCACACCGGCTTTCGAAGAGGAAAGAGCATAGTGGGCCATGTTACGCTTTTGATGACGCATCGGGTGGTCAGTTTTCGTTCGACCCGAGGAGGAGGCGCGTGGACGCGGGCTTATGCGTCACGATCCCCGACGGTAAGGACGGATAGGGTTTCCAGGTTGGCGCCGTTGGTGGACTGAGAGGGCCACGCCAAACGGCTCCTGGGGCTGAGCTGCTTGCTTTCGCGCTCGCCCTCGAGCGCACTGAAGGAAGTGTAATACATCACAAGCGGAAAGGTGCCGATACCGTTACCCTTCGCCCGTCTTCCTCCTTCTCGGCTTCCTGGGAGGCCCTCGTCGCCACCGCTGGATTCGCTTCGAAACCCTGGTCGGAACGCACTCTGGGAGAGGCCCGGGGAGTAGCGGTATCGGTACCTCTTGTTTTCCCCAGTGGAAGTATTCGACAGACAGCTGGGGCCTGAATTTGGACGGGCCCGAGGCAGGCATGTCAAGATCCAGGGCCTCCACGGGGACTTTTGGGCTCGGGCCCGCGGGGCTCTCCGCGCCAGGGGCACAGAGGGGCAGATGTTTTCCTGGTCGAGTGGATCCACAGCCACACCGACGACTCTGGCCTGCCCTACATTGAGCTTGATGGCCGCAGGGAGCCCTCCTCCTCCTCCTCCTCCTCGTCCTCCTCCTCCTCCTCCTCCTCCTCCTCCTCCTCGTGTGCTGAATGTTTCGCCTGAGGCTGCTGCGGCTGAGTCTTGAGATCGGGCGGTGTTTGGAGGGATCCCGCGGACCGACGTGGTTGACGCCTTGGCAGCACAGCTTCGCCAGCTGGCCCGCAGAACGCTAGTTGACACCATGGCGGTTGACGTTTGGGCAGCCGTGCGGCCTCCCTGGGCTCGGACAGCACCCTGGTCTCGGCGCGCTCGCGCCCTGGCGCCAGCCGGCATGCCAGGACGCCCGTCCAGGGGAGCTGGCCGTGCGCGCCTTGTCGTCTTCTGGGGTCTGAGAGCCGTGTCTTGGAGGCGGGGCGGCGCTCAGCTCAGGCCTGCCGACGCGGCGTGGCCTACTTCGGCTTCCATGAGCATGCGAGCATGGGGGTTCGCATGGTCGGGAAGCCAATGAGAGGCTGGCGGCGGCCGCGCCGAGCCTGCGGGGGTCGGTGCTCCTCCGCGACCGGCCCCCGCCTCTGGTGCTCAACGAGGGGCGGCCTCGCCACTGCGCGTGCGTCGACAACCTCGGGGCCTTCTCGCAGCACGAAGCCATGGCGGGGCGTGCCGTCTGCGAGTGGGAGGCCGAGTTCGGGCGGCACGGGCTGGAGCTCCACGGAGGCGAGGCGCAGAGTGAGGACAATTCGCGCCTTTGGCTGAAGGCTCGACGGCCGGGGCGGCCACCATGCCCGAGCGAGTTTGGAAGATCTGGGCCGCTAGCGAAGAAATCCTCCGTCGCGGGAAGTTCCCAGGCTGGTCCGTTGAGTGATGGCTGGGACACGCCACGCTCGGGAGTCTTATCCAACGGGGTTTGCTGTCTGCGTTTCACACGTGCTATCGCTTCTGTCGAACCCAATGCAGTCGTGTCGTTCCTCTCTGGACCACAGAGGACATGAATAAGCTTGTTGTTGGGGTCGCGGCTGATTTGGGGCTTCCGGATGGGAGTTGCAATTCTTCCACTCACGCATGGCTATCTGCAAACAGTGGTACTGTCTCTGACGCGTCCGCTGTTGAAGATAACGCTTTGCGTGCAAGGTTTTCCACGACACCATCTAGGCGATGCGATGCCACGTCGAAGCCGGAGGCGTTGAAAATTGTCGAGAAGCATGCCCGCCACGTCAGGCAGCCCAGGGATGATCGACGGCATTGGCGACGGGTGGAGCGACGTGGGCTACGAAAGTGGCGAGTCGCTTCGGCACTTCGAGAGCGACGTCAAGGATCGCGCAGGACGCAGGCGTTGACGTGTGTGACGCAGAACGCCCTGGACGATTCCAGCCGTGGACGTCATTTCGATTACACTTTCACGGCGGACATGGTGTCTCCCTCCGTTGCGACCCCAGGGCGTTGCAAGAAATTCGCGTCTCGATGGGCAAAGACCGCCTTCTTGGAATGTTGCGCATACTTCTAGCATGCCGGGGCAATCTGAAAACAAGGAAGAGTGCGGGAGGAGGTGGCTCAATTGTGGCAGAGATGTTATTGGCTCTTCCTTTTTAGGGTTTCAGTATTCTGCATTGGGCGTTCCATGCGCGATACCTAGCAGTTTTTCAGACAGAGTCGAGCAGTTGGAGACACGTCGTAGTCACTCTGATCCTAAGAGTGCAGGGGCCAGAAATCTTGGACGAGTTTTTTTCGCTCATCGATGTGGTTGCCAAGTAGTACATGGTGTGTGTTGGTCGCGCTGGCGAATATCGGGGTCGGGTATTCATTTCTGGTTATGTCGAGGGCCACTTGTGTGGACAGAATGCTACAGCATTGCGCGTTCTCGGAGTGGTGGGGCGCGAGTGGGGTAAGAAGGGGCATCTATGCATTTCGAGCGTGGGTGCCTCCCGCACGGTCCTAGAAGCCATGCAGTTTCAGGGCGTTCCTCCACGTTTGGTTTTATGCATTGTTGAAGATCTGGTCAATCTGACGCGCGAAGTGGGGACTTCTCCACTTCTGAACGGATCTCGTTCAACAAGGCCGTCCAGCAGGGATGGGGTCGAATCGCAGTGGCTGTTCAATCTGGTCATGCGGATAATGATATTGAAGTGCGTCGTCGAACGGGGAGCTGCTGGCCTCGGATTTCTCCTTCCACATTTGGTCGTATTGAAGTATGCAGTTTGGGCGAACAATATGTACTTCAGTGGCAAGTCAATGTTCGACGCGACGACGATGTTTTCTAGCATGGCCCGAATGATCGGATTGAATGGCATTCGTTGGAATCCCGAGTCTCTGAAGCTGTTGCGCGCAGATGCGCCCATGGGCCAACTCGATGCAATTGTGCACGTAGATGGGCAGGATCATCATGTTGAGTGCTTTTCAGAGATGAAAGTCCGTAGGGATGTGCTGGCGCCCCTCTCCGATCACGTTGCTGCCGCGAGGCGCCGTCTGGCCAGCGCTTCTGCCGCTTTCTGGCCGAACACGCATTATTATCGATGCCGGCAGATCCACAGTCAGAAGCGCATTGCCGAGTTTCATCCCTGACCAGTGCCGATTGCAGCGCGCGGCCCATTTGGGCGTCGTTCAGCGGGGACTCGCGCGTTTTACCTCTCTTGGGAGAATGCAATGTTGAGGCGGATGCTTGGGGGGTGGCCGGCGGGGGGGGGGGGCATTCTCTCTAGGCCCAGCGGGCGACTCGGAGAGCGCGACAATTCTGTCACCAAGGAGCAAGAAGTCTTTGTTCACAGAATTTGTGTGGTCCACTTTCATTGGGCGGGTGGTTGTTTGCACCATCTCCATTGTCCTTCACAATTTACCATGCAGGTGTCGCTGGCTTGCGCTGTATGGAGAGATTCGGAATTGTGAGGAATCGTGCAAGCACTCGGCGAGATGTGGCATCGCAGTTTGAATTCCTGGAGACATTCCAGATCGGGTCACCACATGCGTTGGGACAGACCCTGCGCGCTTGCCTCCGGGATTCAGCGGAAGACGCACGTTCGCGACCCGAAGGGGCGGCAGCAGATGTCAGGGCGAATTCGTCGCAAAGGCTGATTCGAATCTGAGCGTGAGGGAGTTGGAGGACCGGCGCGCCTCCACAGTTGGTCGCCCAGCAATGGGACCTCAGCAGAAACGGCCGAGACAAGTCAG